GAAAGGTTCTTAAGGTTTAATTTCCGGCAAGAAATTACGTCAATCTTTTGCACTATTTGATAGAAAACTTGGTGCACAACTTTGGCGTTTACAACTTTAAACTCGGATGTGGCTAACAGTCTTACTACTAAGTTTAGCGAAAAAAAACACTACGAGGAACGTAATTTTTCTACAATTTATATGAAAATAATTCCTAAAATTGCATTGTCAATAAATTATTCATGCGATCAATCGAAGAAATGCAAGTGCACGTATAATAACGAAGCAAAATTGAGAAAAAAATTCTTGATTTAGTGTTTTGTTCACATACGGACAGGAATGTTTTTATCGATAAACCTTTTTTTATCCTCGCTTCAGAAGAAGTTCTAGCTACGTATTGCGGTGTTGAAAAATATCGAAGAATTATTACCGTTACAAATAAACTTGTGTGAATAATATTAGCTCTCAGAAAACATTATTCAAAAAAGGCTAATTTTGCGGGACTTTTTAGCACATTTTCTCATTTATGGAAAAAAGGCGCTATTATGCTCGTCATGTCCAACCGTCTGTCTGTCCGTCGGTCCGTGACTTCACGTTTTCGTCGACGCGAAAATGCGCTCTCTGTCACTCACTGCAGTGAGTACTGAGTTATATTTTTTTATGTGCACTGAGTGATGACGCTGAACCGTGGCCGCGTTATAAAGTGAGGTCACAAGTATACGGTCCAGGAGAGAGTTAATTACTCCGTTCACTAGGGGCTCCAGTCAGAGAATAACCTATGCGGATAGAGGTTATTTCTTCAATAAAATAACAGAGGCCACAGGGAAGTTCATTTACTGCGTGCAGGGCAAGAATCACAGCGTTTGTTTCACTTTCCTTTTACCCAGGTTTTTGTCGTAATTATTACAAATATAAAAATGTCTGGGCACGAATATTGGCGAAGCTCAGTAGCATAGAATTTTGACTCACCAATTGCTGAGAGCAAGTAAGTATCGACGTCCTTCACACAGTGGAAGTAGGATCAATACTGAGTAGAGTATAAACAGACGACACTGAACTGTGCCTCGCCAACAGTTCGTACAGCTGACCGGAATCAGTGCCACACACTGCAATATGTTCATTTGTTTTATCAAAATTTAGGATCTATAATCCATGCATTACACCAATTTTATGCGCTAATAGTAAAAAAGAGCGAAGATAATTTTCTTGTCATTGTAACATTATTTTATTAAAATATAGTGAGGTTTAAGATTGGTGTACGGTTCTCATAATTCAAGTCAAAACTTTGCATGTCAGTTTACAGGCCCACAGCTGATGTCTGATCACGTGATGCAAACAGAGAACAAAGAGAACTTCATGGTGGTGAATCAAAATGTACACTATGAAAAACAATTAGCATTTAATGTGTTGAAACTGAGGATAAGTAAATACTGTGTTGAATATGGTACGAAAAATTTCAAAGTACCTTATTTATTGATATTAAAGTAAGTTGAACTACTTCACTTCGTGTCTCTGGCAGCTAGGAATGACATTTTACACATCCCCGTGTTTGAATTTCAAGACGAGTTTCTTAATACATAATATATCGTGTTATGTGAAATTATACATTCTTTACTACAATTTTGCTTCTCAGATTTCAGTACCAATCTTATTTCAGTACCAAGTCCTATAAATATATGATACGACGACTTAGTTCATTGCGTCTCGGACAAATTTAATTTAAAACAACCATTGGATACCGTTAAATTAGATGCAATTTTCACGTCAAAAATTTGAATTAGTGGCTTATTACTACGATTTTATTACGTTAGTTAGAAAATAATGCCTGATATTTTGTCCTTTGCGAGTAATAAACCTTTAAAATAAAACTATTACCATCGGGGGCGAAATTTATAAAAAATCGCCCGGACAATAATTGCCATACGGAAGACCGGTCGGACAAAAGCGCGTGGGCGTTAGCGTGGGTTACAGCGTGGGCCAGCCCGGCCCTGAACCTGCCCTATACCAGCTCTGCCTTTAGCCACGTTTTATTCCCTCAATTCGTAACCAATAATTATGAAAGTTAATATATGCTTTAACATGCTTATTGCGCAGTCGCGACGATTTTTTGTAAAAAAAAAATAAAGTATTCTTCTTCACCTTCAAGCCGTCATCAAGAAAAAAAAAGGTTATGCTTGTGCAGTGCAGCCGTATGAAGCGATGCAGTATGCGGAATTACGGATTCAAGTTTACAATTTAACTTTACATATCGCCTGTTTGCGCAGTTTCCAAAGTTTATAGCTGTTGTATCTTTATTCTGTTATTCATTTTCATACTGTTTCTGCTAATAGAATAAATTATTTTATTCCTTTATGTTATGCAGAGTGCAGCTTTTATTTGGTCGAGGTCACGCTGCCCTTGCCAGCTCAGTCTTGTTATAAAATTGATAATTTCCTTAAAGGAAATTATTGTATGGATGGTCCCAACTCCCAAAGGCAGGCTTTGGGAGTTGGGGCTACACCGGGTACTGGCTCAGCCTACGCTTAGTACGCTACACTATACAGGCTACTTACGTATACGGGTATACTGTGGCAACGTTAGAATAATATAGACATTTGACGGTACTGGTAGTTCTCTTGACCAAGTTCCAACTTCAACTCCGCGCACTGCCCGGGCAGAGTGACAAAGCAGAGTTTTTTAGACTTCCTCAAGAGTCAAGTTCAAGATATGGCAATTGGCAAGATATTTCCTGACCATCCATATAATGAGACATCTGTGCCTCATGTAATGATGTAAAGACTAAAGAGTTCCATAATCATGGTATTGGTAAAATTCCAGGAAGTGGTTGGTCAAATAGCTCCACCAGAAAGACCAGAGCACTCCACACTTGAGGACTTGAGGTTGACTGGTTGAGGACTGGTGGCGTGATTTGAGGCCAATACTCTAGGCTAGACTACTAGAGTGCTTATTGTTAAGTACCTAAATACCTGTGATTTAGGTGCTGGAGTGCTATAGTGCGCTTGTCCAGGCTGTCATGCTCATTTTCCTAGTTTCCAGGGGGTTGCTGCTGTTCTGGTTCTGGCAACCATATTCCTCAATTATACATAAGATACATGGTCATTTAAAAGGCATTTAGAATACCACCACTCAACTCAACTTGCATTATTTGCATACATATACCATAATAAAAAAATTACCATCTATACCTAAAACTGTGGAAAAATTATCAGTAAGAATTGGTATTTGTGAAGGACATGTTATTGTCTGGGACTCTCAGTCTGGGTCAGTGCTGAGTGCCTGAGTCTGGGTCAGTGACCATCTTGCTTGCAACTGTGTTGGCTCTATGTTCTCAGTTCTGTATCAAAGGAAATGCCAAGTCAGCCAAGAGCTTGGACTACAGTCACCAGGCAGCGATCCATCATGGCCTGGGACTGCTATGTCCCAAACAAGTACCAAGATTAGCTACCAAGAAAGTGGGTCACTGGGTGAATATCAAAAGATTATTGGCAACACATCAGTAGCAAAATTTATGCCTTTAGAAGATCTTGCTGACACATTTGGATTGAAATTATTGCATTTTAGAAATTACTGCCTTACTTTCATGCCAGTTATGCACATTTGCCATATTGATCAAAATGCTCATATGTCTGCCAATAATCAGGCTGTTGCCTGGAGGCTTATGTGGTTTATGAACACCCTCCTATCAGTGTTTATTTATCCATGTTATCTTCCCCCGGCCTTACCTTGTAACTTACCCAAATGCCTGTGTTCTTTTCTGTTTGAGTCTTGGCCACAGATATTCATAAACTATGAAGCTGAGCCCAATGTATGCCTGTCTCTTATACACATCTAGATGTGTATAAGAGACAGGTCTTACAGAGAGAGTAGAACTTGAGTGAATGCGTCTTAGAGGGAGAGTAGAACTTGAGTGAATGTTTCATAGAGGGAGAGTAAAACTTGAGTGAATGCGTCTTAGAGAGAGAGAAGAACTTGAGTGAATGCATCTTAGAGAGAGAGAAGAACTTGAGTGAATGCGTCTACAGGGAGAGTAGAACTTGAGTGAATGCGTCTGAGAGGGAGAGTAGAACTTGAGTGAATGTGTCTTAGAGGGAGAGTAAAACTTGAGTGAATGCGTCTTAGAGAGAGAGAAGAACTTGAGTGAATGCATCTTAGAGGGAGAGTAGAACTTGAGTGAATGTTTCATAGAGGGAGAGTAGAACTTGAGTGAATGTGTCTTAGAGGGAGAGTAAAACTTGAGTGAATGCATCTTAGAGGGAGAGTAAAACTTGAGTGAATGCGTCTTAGAGGGAGAGTAGAACTTGAGTGAATGCGTCTGAGAGGGAGAGTAGAACTTGAGTGAATGTGTCTTAGAGAGAGAGTAGAACTTGAGTGAATGTGTCTTAGAGGGAGAGTAGAACTTGAGTGAATGTGGCTTAGAGAGAGAGTAGAACTTGAGTGAATGCGTCTTAGAGGGAGAGTAGAACTTGAGTGAATGCGTCTTAGAGGGAGAGTAGAACTTGAGTGAATCTACTGCAATGTACTGTTGAGTAATTATTTCCTTTTATAAAAGTATAATGGATAGATTTTAATTTTCTCTATATGTGCTGTATTGTTGTGATATTTGAGGAGTAATGTTACCCCTCGAAATACAGCGTTTTTAGCAATATTATCGGTTAGGGGGAAATATGGTGTGGCCAGTTAGCTTGTAAATATTCTAGATCTGATTCAGGATCAGCAGTGTTTGGAATCAGGAGCTGACGCCAAGGTTTGTGATACAAAATATTACTAGAAATTAAGTATAAGCAGTACAGGAAGATAACCTACTTCGTGTTCTTTATTCCCACTATGGACGCCAGAGAATTGAAAAGGCGGCTTGCCTTCTGGATTTTTAGCGAAGTCTAATCAACGTGGAAAAACTGTCCACTAATGTTGTTTTAATTTTCAAGCGCCGTGCGCGTAGAGTAGCTACCATCACTTTCCTACCTACCTCGACCTTCATTAACGCCGTGAAAAAGTTCACAACACTTTGAAAACTTCGCTAAATTCTTCGTTTTGACTGGGAAACAAAAAATCAACAAGAAGTTGACATCAATTTAGTAAGTGGGATACATCTTGACCTTATATTATTGTGAGATACGTCTTGATCGTAGCATTGACATCTCCCTTCGTCACTTGACCGCGGATTCGCTGGCATACGACAAATTGAACACATTGCTTCTGGAGGCCCGCAGTCGTCAAAGCAACTCAACATCGGTGTTCTTATTTTGGCCCAAATGATCCTGTACCGAAAATACCTAATTTTATTGACGCGAAAACTTGGCTCATCTGCGAAAAAATTAAAACTGTCTGAGCGCGTCCTGGTTACCCATGGAAAAAGAAGTTGCAGGAAAATTCAAGCGTTGGCCGGTCGTTTCTGAAAGTTCTGGCAACTGCATGGTTTATCTGCACGAACTCCAGAGCAGAAACGAGTGGAAACTGACGACAAGATTGGGCAGTAGCGATTTCATCTTGATCTGCTTTGACGAAAAATTTGTATTATTAAACAAACGGCGTGTATTATTGTGTGTTATTCCGGCGCTGTGAGATCGGTAACTTTGCGTCTCGTGAATAGCAAACTCGACGTCAAGAGGTGTTTCTGGAGTGGATGCCACCCTCAGCCGTGCTCGTCGTTAATCAGCCTTCGCAAAATTCCTTGAATTTGACGAGATATTGATTGTGCTGATGGGACGTGACTGTCGTTTCGACAATGACGATGGTTTGATCTCAACATTTGGAAGTTCAAACCTCATTTCATTAGACGGCGCTTGCGACGCTTCTTCAGCTGGCTACCGAAGTTCCTATATGCATCACATTTGCATACGTATCATTTGAGCGTATATAGACACGATGGGTCTCTTAGCAAGTTAGCTGACATTTTCAGTAGCGACTTTGATATAATTTTTTTGTTCGATACTTCTCTATCAGTCGTTGAAAATTTTGCTTTCCTTTATTGGTTGAAGATTTTAATATGAGGAGTGATTTAGTTTGACTATTTCACAATTTTATCGTCTCAAATTTTAGTCAACAGATTAATATGAATTTAGAGGTTGAATTTCGGTGTTTAGGCAGGCATTCTCTTCACCATTAAGTTGCATAACTAAAGGGTTGCCAAACTCTTCAAATATTGAGCTGTATTTGTGTTGTCATTTTCATATTATTCAAATTTGAACCATAATTGTTTTTTTTTCTGTTGAAAATTTTTTTGATTAGTCTGTCTAAAAACCAAGACCAATTCCCCTAGTCTAAGTCCACTTTGCTTCACATTGAGTTTTTTCATTTATTTTGAGATGGCCTCTATAAATATTTTTGTGAATGTAATGATTTTTAATATTTTTTTCAGAGAGTGAATAATATATACTTGAAATTAGAAATGGAGCATTCAATAGATGGAGATTTTGAAATGAGTGTGACCTCCAAGAAACGTGACCTCACTCACGTTGACGATGTGGAAGAGCGACCTGGCAAGATGAAGACATTCGTGACTAGTTCAATGGCTACCAAACCAACAGATCTGTCTGTTGATGCGGTTAATTCAAGCGCAGATGAGGCTGGAACATCAGCGGCTGGAAACTTGGACGGTGCTGGAACGTCAGGGTACAACAGAGTCGCTGCGTCATACGCTGATGATCAGGAAGATGATGAATGGTTGCAATCTCACCACAGGACGCTATGTGAAATGTTCCCTGATGCTGACCCGGAATATCTGTTATTAAAGTAAGTTTAATTAGTCTGTTAATATGTTTTATTGTAATGTCATTTTAATTATACGCTGTTTTGAATGTTCATAAGCCATAACCGTTCATTTCATGATCAACCTCTGAGGATTATATTTAATTTGCTGATTGTAATTGTGATTTATTCACAAAGTTGTTGCAATAATTAAGATGCTTATTTACATGGCATCACTTCACTCAGTCCCATTGTTTGCTCCTCTCCAGATGCGCAGAAGTCGAGCCTTGCGGCGCTCGCTTTGAAGCCCTCGTTGTGGAGCTCATGGATACCAAGAATTATCCCAAGATGCAGGACTATATTTCCAGGACAAAACGCATGGAAATGCGTAAAAAGTTCCTAGATGATATGACTGTTCCTGAGTTCTTGGAGCTTTTCGAAGATCCCGAAAAGGTAATTTGGTCCAGTATTAAGACACGTCATCACTGTTAAGGAATATATTCAAGTTTTTATTAGTTTAAAGATCATATATTCTAAATAATTCGAAAGTTCTTCTTAATTGTTGCTTGTCTTGTCTGACCACGGCGCACACACTGCTCTATTCAAAACATATCTTGCGACCTAGTCTCAACCGAGACAATATTGTTCACATAAGGGCTCAAGCGGACTCTGATAATTGTTGTTACTCATGTTATACTTGAACAGGTGTTCAACGACCACAACAAGGTGATGAATCTCCAGTACCGCCACAACTCGCGGGCCCAGCTGCTCAATGACCTGCCTTACCATTATGCCAAAGATGTCGACCGCGTCCTCAACGCCAATAACTACCACTACCTTCCGTCCTTGCGCGAACTTAAGGTAACGTGTTGCAACGCTACTTAGTAGTTCATCTTATGTTCTCTTCTTTAATGAACAGCTTCTACCTACCGTCCCTGCGCCGACTTCAGGTAACGTGTTGCAACGCTACTTAGTAGTTCATCTTATGTTCTCTTCTTTAATGAACAGCTTCTACCTACCGTCCCTGCGCTGACTTCAGGTAACGTGTTGCAACGCTACTTAGTAGTTCATCTTATGCTCTCTTCTTTAATGAAATGCTTCTATATTTAAGTTCTTCGGCACTCATACCACATCCTGTTCTCAAGGTGTCAAGGTATTAGTCTTTTATCTATTTCCTTCTTTCTATTTATGTGTATAGAAAACTTTGATTGAACTGCTGATCGATTTTCATCTATGATTATTTATTTGTTCGTACTCCAGACAATGATATATAATAAAACATAAGATTTCAATGCAATATTATCTATATTGTGATTTTGTATCGTTATTTTTTTGTTTCCACTAATCCTTTGTCTCCGCCTTCTTTTGGATGGTAAAGTTTCTCGCCCCCATAATGTAGCTATTTTGTTTATACAGTCCGAATACTTTGACCGGCGTAGAATCAAGCGCAAAGAAACTCCGATCAGCGGCGAACTCGAAGACTTCTTCCTGAAGGAGCTTTACTACGCGCGCATGGAGGAGTCCATAGGAAGGCACCGCGCGGCCCAGGAGGAGGCCAAGAAGGAGGTTTTCGCTGCAGCAAAAGATGCCGGACTGCTGCGCACGTGTACCATTTGTTGTGAAGACGAAATACTTGAAGAAGACATGCGGGCTTGTGCCAGTCTTGATTCCCCGCACCTCTTCTGTAAAACTTGTGTTGGGAGGTTGGTAAATCTCATGTCTTTTGTAAGTTCATTTTTCTTCAAATTCGCCCTAGTTCATTCTTGTCTATTTGTAAAATTTATAAAGTTACGACCATTTTGTGTTCACTGTTCAAAATTTCATTTTTGAAAAAAAATTGGACATGACTGCAACATTTGCGTATATCCAAGCATTTTATTTCATTATGTTGAATGGTGCAAAGGAATTGCTCTGCCTTTATTTGCTGGTAAAATGTGTCAAGTACTTTTTGCTTATTTGTATTGAAATGTATGAGCTCAGCTAGGATTAGTTTTTCCTCTACTTGGGCAATGCAACTATCGAACGCTTGGCAACCTTTTATGTATTACTCGTCAATTTCATTCTTCCTAAATACAGAATGGCCTATAAATGTAGAGAACTACTGCCTTTACTCTGCCACCGCTTAGGATTTTTTTGTGAGTATAACTTTAACTTTGGCTTATTTTCTGTAGATATTGCGAGGAGCAGATCGGGCAAGGAAGTTTAAAATTTGCCTGCTGTGACAGCTCGTGCAAGGAAGAGTTTTCCCTTAACGTCATCAAGACTGTACTTAAATCCTCGGTATTCTCAAACTTACTGAAGAGGAAGCAAGCCGAGGAGATCATGGCTGCTGGTATCGCTGATCTCGAGTGTTGTCCTTTCTGCAATTTCGCCACAATTATGCCCAATAAAGAGGATAAGGTTTGTTTGTTTGCTTAATATACTTTATAGGCTGCTATATGCCTTCATTCTCTGGACACAATTGGCATTCCCTCATTCCCATATTTTGTGTCGGTTTTGTGTCTTGTATTGTTTCATTTTCACTTTAGGGAATTCTTGTTCTAATAATGCAAAGTTTGTATTATTTCTGCTATTGTTATAAAAAATTTCCAATGACGTTGCCTGTCATCTAACTTCTTTCTTGTGACCTAAAATATTGCTTATAATCTCTCAGCATTGAGTTTATAAGCTTATATCTCAGCTTATAATCTCTCAGCAACTAGTGTACCGGTATTTCAACCCACATGTTTTTCATTGCATTTGTGTAAACATGTAAAATTTGCAGATTTTCCATTGCCTGAATCCTGAGTGTCTGAAAGATACGTGTCGCCTGTGCAAGGAGCCCGCGCACATCCCGCTACGCTGCGAGGAAATCGAGACGAAAGCTCAACTTTCCGCCAGGACTTACCTTGAGAACCAAATGACTGAAGCAATGGTCAGGTGAGTGCCTTGAGAACCAAATGACTGAGGCAATGGTCGGGTGAGTGCTGCTTTCATGTAGACTGTTTGTGGCTCTCTAAGGATAGAACTTGAGTTCTGAAATGAACATTTACTAGGAGGTTAAAATTTGAAGATATGTATAAAAGAGAAATAAAAGTTCCACATTTTCTGGCATTTAATCTAATTTGGCTTTACAGCCTATTGATTCTCATAAAAGATCATTGTGCAATTGACTTTCGCCTTCCTTACTTTCTTTATTGATATTGACAACCTCTCGGGATATTGCGCTTGTTTTGTGGTTGTGTTTCAGTGGCTCATGACATCTTCGCGATGGTCAAATTTTAAATGCTTCCATCATTTCTTCATCTTGAGAATTACTGTGGCAGTGAAATATCTATATTTTAGTTAATGAAGACGCATTTTACAGAGAATGCTACAAGTGTGGCAAGCGCTTCATCAAAGAGGAAGGATGCAACAAAATGCAGTGTTTGTGTGGTGCTAAGATGTGCTACGTCTGCAAGAAGCCAATAACAGGATACGATCACTTCGACGACGGTCCTTACAGAGCAACTGCCGGGGATCTGCTGCCGTCACAAAGGAGCAAGTCAGTACTTTTTCCAACTTCACATTCTGTTTAAAATAGGCATGAAATTTTCAAGCTACTTCTTCAGTAGCTTTATTTTGGCCCGAAGTCCCAATCGTGTCTTCTCGAGAAACTAAAAATTTCAATAATCCACTAAAGTTACTAAGTTTTTGACATTTAAGTTTCCCCAATATGATAACTTAGCCTCCCACTTTAAATTCTTCATCAAGATTCACACTTGACAGTCATTAGCGCAAGGAATAAACCACGGTTCTGTTGATCTAAATTCCATGCATTCTTTTCTAATGGAAAGGTCGGAAGTAATTTGAAGATTTTATTGAATTATTTGTTTCAGTAGGAAACTAGAAGATGAATTGATAAGGCATGAACCAAATATCTCTACTACTTCACGTTTAGCTAAATATAACTTATATGTCTGCCTGTCACAATAGCGCCATAACTTATTTATTTGGCTGCTGGCGGCTGACATTCCTTGAATACAATGATCCCCTAATGTTTTTTTTAGTATAGCGACTCACGGAAGCTGCATGCTGAGGAGGTGAAGAGGAAAGCCGAGGAGGCCAAGAAGACACTGGATCCTGACGTGCAGCTCAAGCATGACCCCACCAAATATGTACCGCAGGTACCTGCTTAAATTGGCCAGACTTGATTTTATGTTCAATCATCAATCTTTATTATGTGAACATAAATTCAATTAAATTAATTATTATAACATCAATCTTTATTGCGTGTTATATATGTATATGTGTTTGCCTCTAAGGAACTCTGCTGACAATGATGTTCTTGAATTTTCCGTCCCATACACGATGGGATTAGCAATAAATTTATCTTGTTAACATTGTGGGACATTTGTAATTTGCTCGCTATTAATTGCACTACTACAGATTGGGGTGTTCGCAATTCTCGCACCACCCTACCACATTTTCAAGGTAGAATATATCTGGAAGTGCACAATTTACCCATTTTGTTATCCCTAAAAAGCATTCTCTTTCATTGTGAATGCAGCAGTGAACGGCTTCCGTCAAACTCAGACACACCTCCACTATTATTAGCTTCCAGATTACCTCCAAAACCAGCCCACCCACTTGGTCTTCCCACCACAAAGACCCCATCAGCCCCTCAGTTGCTCAAGTCCATGTCGTGGCGCGCCCTTTGAAGGCTGGCACCTCATTTCAGCTTGGAGCTGAAGGACGCCGTCACTTCCACGAACTCTTTGGACCTTGGGGCCACAGCCCTCTTGGACCACCTCCTAGTATGACGTCCATCTATCGTTTTGTCGTGCATTACGGTTGATTGTTAACTCCTTTAAGATATAAAGGAGAAATTCTTTAGAGTTTCTCAGTGTAAATTTGCTGTCGTTATATTTTGGGAGTTCGTTGTACTGTCGTTGGTTGCTTTTTTTCGTCTAGTTTATCCTGGTTGATGAAAATTCCATATTAATTGACGAGCTTTTCTTGGGGGAACTTCTTAGAGTAGGTACTAGCAGCCTGCAGATATTTGAACACCAGTAAACACTAGCAGAACACCAGTAAACATTGTCCATCTTAATTTCAATATATTTTACATGAAATTCCACTTGCGAGATCTAGGAACTCGTTGAAGGATTCCACTCGTAAAGTGATATAATCTTACTCTACTTGACAATAGTATACCCAGGTCTTGCTTGCTGAAGCTAGAGCAGTGATAACGAAGACTTTTTAACCTCTTCCTCTAAATGTTTTCATTTGGCTGGGTTAAAACACTAACCCCTTCATTGCAACCAAAAAGTCAGCAACAGTAAATCGTTAATCCTATTTAACCCTCAATTTAGGAACCACTGCTCCCAGAGAGTTCAATAATTGTTGTGTTTAGCAGGGCCCTGCGACTGCTGTACAGATGCAACGGCAGCCTTATCCTGAGCACCAGTATCCTCCCTACGAACGCAATGTGCTATTTGGTTAGTGCTATTGTTGTCCTTTCAAGGGCCATAGTTTCAAAAAAAGTTAAGAGATCGTAAGTTCATCAGCCAATCACAGACAAGAAAATAGAGCGTAAGTACTTACGCTCACTTAGCGAGTTTTGAAAGTATGGCCCCTGATAATGAAGTTTACGTAGTCGTTGCAAGGTCACCAACGAAAGGTGACTGCACGATGTCGTTTATTATTTTTTTTATCTTGAGTAGCCGTTATTGCGTTGTTTACTTATACAAACTTATTTACTTTCGGATTTGAATTACACCTAAATCATGTAGATGTATATGTAACGTGCAGTAGTTTTCATTCTTTTATTATATCGTTCAGATAACTTTTTAATTCTTCAGTCGTATTATAATGTTCAATTCAGTTCACTGACTACCAATGAACTGATGGAAAGTAAAAATTATATCGGAGTAAAGCTATAAATTTTGTACGAAAGGCAGTGGTGATATGTGAATAAAATGCTTATGCCTGCTCTGATACTTACATGCGAAATGAGCTCGTTCAATTTAATATCTTCTACCCAATTGATTCAACGAGTTTGTGCCACTAAGCACCATCACACCCTGGCCTTAAGTCAGTCTTCTATCTGCCTTATCTTGAATGGCTGCTACGTCCAAGTGAAATGTTACCGACAGCATCGTTCATTTTAACGCCCTCTGTAATTGAGGAAATAGTTTCATTGATCAATATTTATTTACCGGCTTTCTTAGGTGCATGAAGCTTGGGTGGATTGAATTTTGTTTATCTGAATGCTTTCATTGTTGAATATCGATGACCTGCTTAGATGATTACAATTAATTTGGAAGCAGGGGGGGGGGCGAATAATTGGCGATTACGCACCTCCTGCCCGCGTCGCTGATTACCGTCTTAGTCCAGGAAAAATAAGGTTAATTTAATTTTTTTTAATTTTTAATAAGGTTAATTAAAAATTGCTGTAACTGTAGTCATTAGTTCTTTAGGTATGAATAACGACGGCTTATTTGTCCGTTCCTACAAAGTGAACATCGCTTGTAGTCCAGGAAAAATAAGGTTTGACCCGGAACAAATTGCAAAAGAAATGATTTTTTCACCAATGCTCCAGAAGGGCAATAGAAACAACATAACTAATTCAAACCGCTGCATATCAACATATAGTTTACTTTGGCGGCCATTTTGAAAATCACTGATTTGAAGCCTTTCCACCAATTATATTTTAGAGGATTTTTTATATGTCTTTTCTGAGGCCTTTCTGCATGTTATAGTGATGGAGAAAATTCTTTTGCAATTTCTTCTAGGTTGACCCCCTTTTTTCACTAGGTTACCTGGAATATCTTCCGCCGCCTCTTCCTGCCGGCGCCGGTCGTGGCCCGGCTCTTCCTCCTGCCGGCGCCGGTCGTGGCCCGGCTCTTCCTCCTGCCGGCGCCGGTCGTCGCCCGGCTCTTCCTCCTGCCGGCGCCGGTCGTCGCCCGCCTCTTCCTGCCGGCGCTGGTCGTCGCCCGGCTCCTCCTGCTGCCCCCCGCGGGGCGCGTCCCTAAACTGGGGGATGTGAGAGCAGGGCTGCAGCTTCGGCAGCTGGTAATTGGTGACAGGTTTAAATCAATCATGACCACGGTAACTTGCGCAGTTCAAGTGTAAGTGGTGAATGCGAGTATGTTTCGACGTTGTGTACGTGCTGTAACTGCTGTTATTTCTGCTCCACCAACTGCTAGTGTTTCCCCACTGCTATGTTCCTCTGTCATACGAAAGCGAAATTTTACCATCCACTGAAGGGTCTTCACACAATCTGATATCCTAGTATTTTTGTGTTGGCTGTGGTTGTCTACATATATCTTGATGGCATCTCAGTCTAGTGCAACGCCTCAGTAGCACCGTACTTCCTAGTCTGCCTCACTGGCAGTAAAGTCCCGTGAGTGTTGAATGTTAAGTGGGTTATATTGTCCAAATAGTGACACGTATGTTAGTAGCCCCTCGTGACCATGTTTGCTTCTAGTATCACACCTTGCATGGTGCACTCAAATTTTATGACCGATTATTTTCCTGAAACTTTATCCATTTTTACTTTGACAGAAAATGCTCTGCTGAAACTCTATTCATTTTTACTTTGACTGAAAATTATTTTGCTCTTGTATTGGTTGCATTTTTCGATCGCAGTGAAGCGAAATCTTTCTTTGCTGTGCCGTGAGTGTGCCTCTTCGCTTTAATCGTGTACTTCCTATTCTGTCCTAGCAGCCAGAAAGGCCACGTATTCTTCTTCTGTGATAATGATTGAAAAAGGTAATTCTTCAAAGAATCTATAATTATCAAACGTGAGTCTTGTGATCTTTGATAAATGCAGCCACAGGCAAGTTCATGAACTTTGGCATTGAACCAGACTATCTTTCGACTCGCAATTTTTCTCGTCTTTATAATTTGCAATGCTTGATACAGATGTTTAAGAATGTAAATGTAGAATGTAGGCAAAATACGATTAAGTCCAAACATTACTTCCTTATAAGTGTTCTCTAACATTTTTATGAAGTTCAATGCGGGATTATAGGGACGACAGAGCTTGCAGGTGAGCATTGCTGGATAGGTCACTTTTGAACGCTGCATCCGAGCTAGAAAGTAAAAAAATCTGAGAGAAGATTTATTCTGTTTAATACATTATTCAAAATTTTTAATTTAAATTTTATGCTCAAATTTTCTGCCTGTTCTAAATTAAATCAAATTTACCCTCGATGTATGAATTTAAAGCCTATGTATAAATTTTTTCTCCTCTCCAGACCAACGAAAGACTCTGCCCCTTGACTCAGTGCTTTGTACACACAGGTGAACGTGCAGACAGGCAGCGCAGGCAACAGCCACTACAAGATCAAGCACAGCCTGCAACTCCGCCGCGCACCTCAAGGCCTCGTGCCAATGAGTGAGCCGTCTCTGCGACAGCCACCTCCATCTTTATCTTGTGTATTTTCACGCTATTAATAATATGGGAAGTGAGTGTATAATGCACTGTTCATAAGCTGCTGTTGTCATTATTTATTTTATCAATGTAAAAGATAGAGCCATACAAAAAGGGAACCTTTCTTCACCAGCTTTTCACCAGGGTATAATGCACTGTTTTTAAGCTGCTGTTGTCATTATTTATTTTATCACTGTAAAAGATAAAGCCATATAAAAAGGGAACCTCTTCTCACCAGCTTTTATTAGTTGGGATGCAACGTATCTCTCAAGTATTTAATCTAAGATTTTAACTAGATTTTTTTATTGTAATTTGGCCTATAGTTTATTATGCACTTCTCATCTCATCGTAAATGTTACATGTTTCTATACTGAGCGACCAATGTCAGTCGATATCTCTTTTGCGCTTATGCAGTCGTTAAAGTTTTGCTGCAAATTATCTAAATATCTATCCGGTTTATATATTATAAATCTATTGGGACTGAGTATTACTCGATAAAGGCAAGTTTATTCTTCACAAATGATTTAGGGAAAACACGGGAAGAGCTTCTTCTTTGAGGATTTTTATTGTTTTGGAACATGCGTGTTTGTCGACTGCTGCTCCTATCAAAATATATCATTTCATTCATTTATTTTGTTTGTGTTAAAATTAAAGAGCCATTGGGAGCGGTTTTTATTTTCTGTATGAATCCAAAGGAGATAATTTTTTTTTTAATGAGATGATCATAAGAAAAATACATTGTGCACTCATCGTTCATGTCCATGTCTTTATTTCTACTTTCGTATTGTCCGATCTTGCAGTCCTTCATGAACGTCTGTGATGCGTACAGTAATGTAAGAGAGGCACAGTTTCAAATGAACTTGTATCTATGTACCAAGAATAAAGTGCAATGAGTTTCTTAGTTTTCCTTCTCTACCCTTTTGATGAAACGAGTGTTCCTCTAATGTCAGTCAGCTCGACAGAGGAATATATTCTGCAGGATATGTTCCGCAGGAACATGCGGAACATATCCTCATTTCTGACAGCGGAACGTATTCCATAGTCCATACTACCCCGCAGGGGCAGGGGAAGTAGGCCTATGGCTCTCCTCCGGCCTCTAGCCTACTGAAATTAAACTGAAGTACTGCACTACTGCTACCTGATCCTGAACTTAAGACAGAGCATGAGTTCATGCAGTGTTGTTTTACATAGATAATATTACACAATACACATTAATATCGTTATTGTAATTCTACTCAAATAATGTATCTTAAGAACAGTTTTTCTTGCCTGCTTGCTGCAGCAACCGTTGGTTTGCAAGGGAAATATTCCATTGTAAAAGATTCATCTGGTTTGTTTGCACTCTGCAAGAAATTTAGATAAAAACAGAATATTAAAATGACGATTAATTTACACCCTTGGTAGAATGTAGTGTATAAATAGACCTATCAGTATCATAAAATGATTTCATTAATGACAACTGACAAGTTGACAACTGATTTTACAAAAATTTTAAAAACTGATAGAAAAAGAGGAATAGGTAGCTAACAACTCACTAAAACAAGGCATGATATGGACTTGAGTAATGGATAGGAATAGATATTTGGCCTGTCGGTGGATACATTTTTGATTTCATGTCCAGACAGTCCAGTGAAGAACTCAAACTCATTACTCAAACAGTCAAACAATTTAAATTTTAGCCAAAATTACATTTTTCAGAGAACTGCGCAGTGCACACTGCAGTGAGTCAGTGACTGGACTGACTGCACATCTGTCAGTGTGACAGTGTCAACATCTGCTTCACTTTCTAATTCATCATAAAATCAAGAATTTTATGAGCAACACTTTGAGCTATAGCTAATAGCCTAATAGGCCTAATATGTGTCTAGGTGGCAGGGTGATCACTGATCCACTTCCACTGTTGTGAATGATTGTTTCTTGCACCAACAGCAATGGTCATGAGGTGCTAAGGCGATGGACAAATGAGTGTAATTGGGAGACGGGAAATGTGCAATGGCAGTATGATGGCCAAAAATTCCAATGTCACGAGACTTTCCCTCTGATGGGAAACTTTAAGCGTTTGTTAGGTAATAAGTAATTTTGGTGGAGCAGGAAAGATGCTTAATGAAACAGGTACCTAGATCATAGAGGAACAGACGTAATACTCACATTACTGATTACTCAGTACAGTATGCCTTTAATTATCTTTCAATAATATATGATTTTTCTTGATACGGAAATTTGGTGAATGAGAAATCTAGAACTTTATTTTAGAAGAAATTTTCTCCAAAGTCAGATGGCAACACTGAACACCGTCTGTTTACATTTCGTATGTATAATAGCCGCAGTTTACGATTACCGTACGTTCCGTATCCGACAAGGCGGACAAGCGGAACTTTGGAAGAGTCAGAAGCATAGTGGCAAAGCAGAGTTTTTTTAGAATCTCCTTCAAGTTCATTTTTGAGTCCTATAAGTAGACCAGAAAAGTATCATGGATACCAGCATTATCATATTTAATAAATTTGTTAAAATCTTGAGTGAATTAGGAAATTTAAAATGAACTGATTCTAAAAAATCTCTGGTTTGTCACTATGCGGCATACCGCGCAGGTCGTTAAAATGACAAAATAAATTCCCGCGCACCTGGCACATCTTCCTGACCATGGGTCTCAGGGGCCAGGGCATTGCTTGAGTAGCTTGACCTCTGACTCACCTCTCTAGTCTCTACCCTAATTTACTGGCCCTAAATGTGTAAGATGGAAAGATGTTAGGGAACTACCATGCAGAGCCTGCAGAGGCTAGGAAAGCAAGTTTTTTTCGTAAGGGATTCAGGGATTGGATGTGGTATGGCAGCTAGGACCCTGGTGAGTGGTGAGTGGTGATCTTGTTGGTGAAAGAGACTTGGTAGGTTTTAAATGGATTCATGACTGCCAGAAGTACAAGAAAAAACTGTGATTGGCAGCATAAATTTATCATGTAAGTTCTCTGAATTTCAATTCCAAGACAAAGGATAATGAAGTATACACGCCATGTACAACTGCCTCCCATTTTGGTTCTGAAATGTCCAAGCAAAGAGGGTAAACCGAAACGTGGTATATTCCGACATCGTGGGTAATTCCAACACTTCTCAACTTTTTTCCTTTATATTAAGCTTTGTCTTAGTTCCATGCATTTGTTGATGGTTGAAATAGTGACGTCATACTATTGTGCGCCATACTATTGCCAAAACACTAGGTCTGGGCCGTCTAGCAGGAAAATGTTGAGATCCAAAGAGAGGCAGTGCGCATCACCCAGTGAGAACATTGAAAAACATGTCAAAGTTGATAGTTGACCTTGCTCTACCAAATAGTGATAAAGTGTTTGTGTAGAAAGAATATTATGGTTTGAGACTTTTAAATAAGTCTGTGAATATATTAGGAATCCTTTAAGTATACTTGTATTTGCTTATTTCAAGTGGTAAATAAATTAATAGATGATTAAGTTAAGAGATGGTTTTAGACACATAAAAACTAATTCCAACACAGCTTGGAATTAGACACACACAGCTTGTTCCGAGCTGTGTGCAAAAATTAAAATTTTCTTAATTAAAAGCTTAATAGCTCTTAATTAAAAGCTTAATTAAGTAGTGTTCAATATTCAATAGTGTTCTAATTCCAAGCTGTGTTATATTCCAATACAGCTCACACAGTGATCGGAATTTGAACGGAAGAGTGTCGGAATTACAAATTAGTAGAGTTTGAAGGTCTCGCAAAATGCCAAATTTAGTCACACACAGCGTCGGAATATATGGATTTGGTAGGTTTGCATTCTAAAGGCTTTTAAATATGGCAACATTTTTGTAACGTTTCATTGTTGCTGGTGCCTAATGCGGTGTTTTGAGAGTGACGTAAAGCAAACAGAACTCAAGTTGCGCATATGGTGATTTTTTTATAGCCATTCATTTTTTGCTACGTCCTTACTGTGTCGGAATATACCGCGTTTACCTGAGCAACCTGAGTTGAATTGTTTGGTGTAAAGTTTATAGTATCTACGTAATTCTTATTTACTTATTAGGGTTGCTTTAAAGTCCTATATATGTTATGGTGTTCATTTTTCTATATAATAAGTAGCTAATTCATCCATATTTCAAAAATATTTACATATGTATTGGAAAAACAGCATATGGATATGAAAACATGAAATTATTATAAACCAATAAATAATTATTTTATGCCAAAAAATGCCTAATTCATAAGAAAGTTATTTTTTTAATGATTACACATTAGGCATGGAGATACAAGCAAGCTAGACTCAGTTGGTGTAATTCATTGCTGTGTGCATTGTGCTGATAAGTGTCAGTATAAACTTAATGAGATTCCAAGATTTCTGATAATTCTCTAAACTAAGATATGTCTTTGCAGAAGTTGAAAGCCATTTTTAAATTATGGTAATTATTTCCTAGTATATTGGAAGCCATTGGAAATATGTAATTTGGAAATTAATTCTACAGCAGTCTTGTGGTATAATTTTCCAATACAATGTTGACTTCTTATGCTTACACATTTGCTTGGCAGCTTCCTTGTCAAATTATTTTTTTAGCTTATTTACTCCATGTTAGATTCAAATGGTTGTTTTATACTTATATTTTTCATGATTTTTATTATTTGTTTGTTTATCTGCATAGGTGTGGGTATTTTATTGACATCTCTGTTTAGTTAATAGTATATATTCTAGGGATGACTGATAAAAGCCCAAGTCCCAATACTGAATGTCATAGCTCCAGCAGTGGGAATGATTCTACTGCAGATGAATTCACTGGGGCATATTCTGTCTCAAATATGGAGAGCTTCAGCAGAGAACATGAAGAGGTTTGTTGGTACCGTCAACTGGGGTGACTTTGGCCACCCGAGGTGACTTCAGCCACACCTAAAACAGAAACAAATGGCAGAAAAACAAAATAATAAATGTTGGCCAAAGTGACTGGGGTGACTTTGGCCAACGTTTATTTTGTTTTGCTGCCGTTTGTTTGTGTTGTAGGTGTGGCCCAAGTCACCCTGGTTGGCTGAAGTCACCCCAGTTGATAGTATGCTTTTGAGTTATTTGATTTTTCCAATTTGATTTTTCACTTATAAAACTGATTGTATTTGTGATAAAAGAATATTACATCTCTTACTTATTAATATATTATAGAACTTATAAATTTTTCCCTATTTTTAAACTATTAGGTACAAATTCTATTGTTGGAAAACTTCAAACAAGTAAAGAATTGTTGATGAAATTGCAAATGAGTAATAAATATTTAAATTTTATATATTATTCCTTGATTGAAACATATTGTCAAGAGATTTGCTAAGCTTCATATTTGAGTAGTTGGTTCCTTTATTTTGTTTCAATTTCATCTTATATTGAAACTTAGAATGAGTTTTGATCACACACAATTAGCAAGGTGGCACGCATTTATTTATGGAGTGCTTGTTTGCTTGACATACCTTGGAATCTTGCAATTGTAAAACATTTTGGGTACCTTAAATGTTGAATGTAAAATTGCTGATCTAGGCTGTTAAATGTACAGACGTTGCTGCAGCCCTTCAGATATATTCTTCAAGTTCCTGGAAAGATGATCAGGAGTAAGTTGGCACTGGCATTCAATTTCTGGCTCAAAATTCCTCAAGAGAAGCTAACGGCCATCTCTGAAATCATCCTTCTTCTTCACAATGCTAGTTTGTTGTAAGTCACTGCACTGCAATGCATTAGTCTCCCAAGTAGGCTGAGATATAGAATATAATAGAATATAAGTGTTGGCACTGAAGAAATAGGCCCATGGCCTGTTGCCAATTCTTGTACTTTTTGTGACTTGAATATATCTGATCTGTCACGATGTGAATGATGTTGCTGCGCCTTTATAGTGATCACTAAAGGCATGTGTGCTGTAGTATGTGCTTTACATGTGTAAAGGTTTTTATTGATGCCATATTTGTGCCTAAATTTCTAGGTTGATACCGGTAGGTCAACAATTTATGATAAACTAAGTGGTTAAATATTTATGTGCTTTTGTCATAGAAGTGATAAGTTATAATTAATATTTTTAAATGAATAAGATATCAAACCTTATAATAAAGCTTTGAAGTACAGCTCTGTGATTTTTCTTTTTTTATTCTGGATCATTCCTTGCAAAATTCTATGTAAAAATATTGATTACTTATTTTTGTGTATCAGAATTAACCCAACCTGAACAGTTGACTTCATTCTGAAAATTGTGCTGGGATAGCAGAGCAAACACATTAATGAGATCATTAATTTGCAGAATTGATGACATAGAAGATGGAAGTACATTGAGACGTGGCATCCCTGTGGCCCACAGCATCTATGGCATTGGCTCAACCATCAACTCAGCAAACTATGTTTATTTTTTAGGACTTCAGAAGACTCTTGCTTTAGAACATCCCCAGGTTCGTGTTCCTCCTAAATTTATACAACTATAGGACTATACTCCTTGGACTAACTCTCACTATAGTTGTAGTCAGATTCATGTATTATGATTCAATTGGTAATGATTTATTTAGGCTTTTTAGTACGGTATTGTACATTATTTTATACTTCTAAAATATTTTTTGTAAATGATTTATTATCATTATAATGATTCATTTGGATATGAATTTATGGGTATCTAGGCTGTGCATCCTGTACACAGAATACATTATTTTATAATTATAAAATATTTTTGTTGAAATGATTTTTTGGCTACTCCTCTACAATTGTGATATGAATTACTATTGAAGCTGCGATTGTTTTGTGTGATGAATGTTGCTTGTCTGTAAACTGGCTACTTATTGTTTAATATTTTCTTATTTTGTTTGATATTTTTAAATGATGTTGTATCATATTTTCCAGGCTGTGAATGTTTTCTGTGAACAACTCCTAGAGCTTCATCGAGGTCAAGGCTTGGACATCCACTGGAGAGACTCGTTTGCATGCCCCACTGAAGAGCAGTACAAACAGATGACCATTTGTAGTTAGTGCTTCTTGAAAACATGTTATCTTCTTGTATTACTATAGTTTGCCAGACAAGTTCTGTCCTTGAATTGTTAGATTTTTGCAGCAAAGTTTAATTTTTAATTGGGATAGCTCAACTGATATTGTATATTTTCAATTATATTAGTTTTACAGCAAAGCTACGTTTTTCTCTTGTTTTGGTCTTAGAGCCATTATATTATTCATGTCTTTGGTTTTTCAACTAAGTTCTATTGTTGCTGTGTTATTCTTATCAATGTTTTGAGTTTAAACTATAATTCTTGCTACTGATCTAAGTTGCAGCATAAATTGAAGAGGTTCTTCTACGTACAATGTTCTAGTTGAACTTGTACCTATGTTCTTTATGTTTGTGCAATGTTTGAGAACTTGATTATCTCAGCATAGCATATCGATCTTGATATGCACTCTAGTGCATATGCGCTAACTGATATTCTTATTTGCCTATTCAGTTGTGAAGAATGTTTTGGTTTTATTGGGTTGCTATTAATTTGCACTCGGGAAAGTTGCATCAATATCGTACCAATCATATTCTGGATATAGTCTTACTAAAATAATTCAATTGGTCTGCACAAAGCTAGTGTTTTATTGGAATTTATTAATTTTGTATTGTAATAATCTAATAACATCAATATTGTACCAATCTTATTTCTGAATATTTATTTGGCTAAGCCTTACTTAAATAGTTTATTTGGTCTTCCCAAAGGTAGTGTTTTATTGGAATTAATAATCTTGCATTGATAAAGTGTTTATTGCAGAGACTGGAGGCTTGTTTGGTCTTGCTATACGCCTCATGCAGCTGTTCAGCGACTGTGACGCAAGCTTCTCCAAACTAATGGACATTCTTGGGCTCTACTTCCAAATCAGAGATGACTATGCTAATCTCTGCACGCAAGAGGTAATGAAAATAAGGCTAAGTACCAGGCCCTATACTTTCAAAACTCGCTAAGTGAACGTAAGTACTTACGCTCTATTTTCCTGTCTATGCTTGGTGGATTTTGCTTGAAAGGCCATCAATGATTGGCTGATGAACTTACGATCTCTTAACTTTTTTTTGAAAGTTTAGGGCCCAGGATTGGAGCAGAGAGGTGTGGTTTTGATCCCAGCTCTCGGCACCTCTTTCTGGTCAGAATCGGTGATGAGGCCGGGCGGTTAAGCAAAGCAAAATTGGAGCAGTGAGTTGCGTGTTTGAGACCGCATCAAGCTGTGAATGTTTTGCGATGTTAAGAATCGGGGACTGACCTACGGCCGAATGAATGCTGAAACCGCTATTATTATTATCATATTATTATTATTAGGGGAACTTGAATTTTGTTGAACCATGAGCTTACAGGTGCTGAGAACTTGAGTGAGAGTACATAACATCTGAAAAAAAGTTGACACTAATGACCTCAAGTGATAACATATGCCGTTAAAATGAACAATTAGGGAAAGCCGTCCGAGGTATTGTGTATAAAGGCTAAGAAATATAAGTTGAAAGTAATATCTTATATGTTTCCAAATCAGTGTATGATTCTTTGGTTTTTGTTCTTATTGACAATCTTGTCTTCCCTTTATCTGAAATTTCAACACACTTCAAATGCATCAACTCAATCTTTCAATTAGGTAGCGTATGCTTTGCTGAGGTAGCCAATTATTCTCTAAAAGAAACCCTTTGTACATTTCAAAATTATACTGAAGAATCCAGGGACCCAACCAAACCCCAATAAAATGACTTGTATAAAAGTTTTTACATGAATGAATTCCGAGTTACGAGTTACACATTCACCCCTTTGACTTCCACTCGTAATTCTTATCCTGATATTTGAATGTATATTCATTACGATGAGATGTCACAAATCCCAATGAGGTAGGAGGTATATGGGACCCAAGAGAGTCCCACAAGGAGGTTTGAACGAATGCTCTATCAATTTCAAAGGACGTGATTTTCATAACATCTGACCGCACAACCTAGCAAAAATGCAAGCAGCATGTCAGGAGTTACTAGCTGCTGTGAGCCCAGCAGCACCTGACGTTTGAGCGCGCCGACGACTTGGTGCTGTAAACTGGAGAGCTTGGCAAGCCAAGGACTGGAGCATTGATGCTCAACTTCTGCTGCAATAAGTGGAGTGCAAGTGCTGCATTATTCTGTCATTGAGAAGACTACAACTTGTTAATTAAGAGGTTTCTACTAAACGTTACAGCCGACAACAACCATATTATTTATAATCCGCCCAAAATTCTCCTCTAACTGATAATTGTTCAATTTGGAAGGGCGATTCGTGTGTGACCAGCCAAAGACGCGAGACAAGGGATTTGATCCAGCGTTTGACACTTGATTTTTATTTGCAGTACTGTGACAGCAAAGGTTACTGCGACGACTTGACAGAAGGCAAGTTTAGCTTTCCCATAATTCACGCCATCCACAGCCGCCCCAAGTGCCAACAAATAATCAGTGAGTTCAACTGTAAAAGAAAATTAGAGTATATTGTATATAAAAAACTATATTTTTCCACATCTTAGGTGGTGTTTTTATTCATTTTCAAGAGTATGCAAGTACCTTGCTGAAAAATATCTAATCTTTGCTATTTATTTCCCTTTTTTGTCCAATCCTCTTTTAAGGATCTTAATAATTATTACTACATCGTAATCTTAATTAACCTTCATGCTACGGATGCATCAACTGTTATTGTTGCTATTTGTACCTTAAAGTCTAGTGACGAGAGTTACCATCAGTAGAAATGAATGTCATCTCAGACTCGAAGTGACAGATACACAAGACCAAAAAAACACTAGTTTTATACCTCATTTGACAGCATATTTTGGTTTATAACAATTGTACTCCTAATTGTTTATACTCCTCGTCTTAGAGTCATAGTCATAACCATATTTAATTGAGACTGTGGGGAGGAGTTCCATTTGCGTCGTAGCAATGCAGCCTTGGAGCAAATACGACAATCAGAGCAAATGTTCTGACATCGACCGCTGCATTACAGGGCTTTTCTTTGTTCAGATATCATTTGCTTGCATCACAACCCCTCTCGTTTGTCCAGACATCATTCGCATGCATCACAACCCCTCTCGTTTGCCCAGACATCATTTGCTTGCATCACAACCCCTCTTCTTTGTCCAGATATCATTCGCTTGCATCACAACCCCTCTCGTTTGTCCAGACATCATTCGCATGCATCACAACCCCTCTCGTTTGCCCAGACATCATTTGCTTGCATCACAACCCCTCTTCTTTGTCCAGATATCATTCGCTTGCATCACAACCCCTCTCGTTTGTCCAGACATCATTCGCATGCATCACAACCCCTCTCGTTTGTCCAGACATCATTCGTTTGCATCACAACCCCTCTCGTTTGTCCAGATATCATTCGCTTGCATTATAACCCCTCTCGTTTGTCCAAACATCATTCACTTGCATTACAACCCCTCTCGTTTGTCCAGACATCATTTGCTTGCATCACAACCCCTCTCGTTTGTCCAGACATCATTCGCTTGCATCGCAACCCCTCTTCTTTGTCCAGACATCATTTGCTTGCATTACAACCCCTCTCGTTTGTCCGAACATCATTTGCTTGCATTACAACCCCTCTCGTTTGTCCAGACATCATTTGCTTGCATCACAACCCCTCTCGTTTGTCCAGACATCATTCACTCGCATCACAACCCCTCTCGTTTGTCCAAACATCATTCGCTTGCATTACAACCCCTCTAGTTTGTCCAGACATCATTCGCTTGCATCACAACCCCTCTCGTTTGCCCAGACATCATACGCTTGCATCACAACCCCTCTTGTTTGTCCAGACATCATTCGCTGGCATCACAACCCCTCTCGTTTGCCCAGACATCATACGCTTGCATCACAACCCCTCTTGTTTGTCCAGACATCATCCGGCAGCGGCCTAAGGACGTGGAGGTGAAGAAGTACTGCGTATCACTGCTACAGAAGTACGGGTCACTGGCCTACACGCGCGACATGTTGCAGCAGCTCGACTCCCAGGCTAGGGAGGAGGTCAAAAAACTTGGCGATAATCCAATGCTCGTGGAAATTTTAGACACTTTACAATCTTCATTGAATTCATCACCCTTGTAAAGCCTTCAAATTTTAGACACTTTACAATCTTCATTGAATTCATCACCGTTGTAAAGCCTTCAGCACAATTTTAGAGCAAGCTTCATAGGGCTAATGTTTTAGTTGTTTTATCATGTGTTTATGTAACTTGATTTTCATCTTCTATTTAATTCTTTTAATTTGTCAATGGTGATTTTATGTTCGGCTATTCAAGGAACTTAACAATTTTAATGGTTACAATGCAATTTCTTGACAGCTGATGAGCTTCAACAAAACGTCTGGAATTGTTATTGTTTCAGGATTGGTCTCCGACTCATAAGAAAATTTTTTGTGTTGTTATTGTGGTCCAACAATTTGCATGTTGAAGTATTATTAAGACTATTACAAAAACACAGAAAGTTTAAGAAGCCAAGTCAAGTTTAAGAAGTCATTATGTTATTTAAATATGTATAACCTCGTACCTGCCTGTAATGTGCACTTGATACTTATTCTGTATAGTTTGCCAATTGCTATGCAATTATTTATTCCATCTAATGAAGTGGAGACCCAGATAACAGTGTTGAATATCTATTGCCTTTTTCATTTATTCCAACTCTAATTACGTTTTGCTTCATTGATGCGTGTAAGTTGTAAATCGTGAGCTGCGTGACCCTTTTAATTTAATTAGCACTTTTAATTTAATTATAATTATATAATTAAATTATTTGTTATGCAAGCAATTTAATCCGTGGCTGGCTCTAACCGTGTGCCTTGGCCGCCATACCCTCCGTCTGACCGGCCTCTCACTGGTGTGGCAACATAGCATCCCTGAAGGTTAGAGCAATAAGCTCTAGCAACTTCAGCCGTTGTTGCTCGCCAGGTTGCGGTTGATTGTAGCGGCCTTGTTGATCATCGGCGTTGTTGCTCACCCCGAGTGGCAGTTCACCCGGCGTCGTAGATCACCCGGTGTAGCATATTAACCCGGCTTGGCAGATCACCCGGTGTATCATATTAACCCGGCTTGGCAGATCACCCGGCGCACCGTGCACCTTGTATGCAAATCTTGCAAGATCTACATTCTGTTTTGTGCGAGTCTACTTTTTTATTACAGTACTATTTATTTTTTAACTTTTCTTACTCGAGTCTTTCAAGTCGTTCACCGCTCGCCTGTGCTGATAGCGACAAGTTGACAAGTCAATCATGAGTCTCGATAAACCTTGCAGTAATCGATCCTGTATTTATGACTGAACTACTTGCATTAACAGTTTTATCTCTCCAACGAGAAATATGGCGCACTCTAAGCAAGCTGCATGACGTTCGCCTAAGCACGTTGAAAGTAGTCAGCAATTACATGTCCTTGGGAGGCATGTTCCTGAGCGCCCCACTACTGCTCGAGGTGCATGACTGCTAGCCTCGTGTGCGGGGTTAAGTTTTACAGGCAGGATATTTCTTTATATTTTGTTCTCTATCCCGCGGCCCATCTCTCGTTTATAGTGTACGAGTGTCTGTTCCTGCTGCCGTTCGTCTGCTCTATCTCTGTCTTTATAAGATGCTAACGCTGCTGCACTTCTACCGATTTTTGATTGATTGTTGTTGGAGTCGTTCCGTCTCTTCTGTGATTTTTTATTAGAGAAATTTGTGGGGAGGGAAACCGTTCTCTCGTGTGTTGCCGTTTATTTAGTGGTTTGTGCTGCTTGCCTGCCTCGCTGCTGATGAACTAGCAAGCCTCTGCACTGTACTATACTTGAAATAAAAGATACTAGCTATGGCAATCCCCATGAAGTTGTTACAATCGAAAAATTATCTTGCTATCTATTTACGCGGATGTCTTTGCATCTTCATTTCCTAGTGTCTGCACTTGGTACAATTTGGTGATTTTTATTGTTGTTGTTGTCGTCTAATTTCCCTCAAGGAGGAACTGTGATGGCCTGTCCATCAGAGTTTCAAGGGGACATCGCTCTCCCCGGGGCACCTTACGCCTGCCGTTTGATAATTATAATTCATTTATTAAACGCACGTAGCAACATATCAGATTTTATTGAGGCTTTGACGCGTAGTTAGCTTAGACGATATAACGAATCTATATTATGGAGCGATTGCAAAATTTCATTCATATCAAGTGCGGTGATGACGGACATGTTACTGGTATACATTCAAGCACAAAAATCATTCTGACGGGATCTCAAGAATGTGACTGGTGCATGTCCAAAACACACGACACAAATCGTGCTGATAGTATTGCAAATTGTTAATGCAGTAGATTCAAAGCAATTTTACGGCTCTGTATTCAGCCATTTCTGTGGTCAGGTTGATGTAACCCTGGCCCCTACTTTTGCAGATGTAAGAAAGTGCGTCAAATTAAACGGGTTCGGGACAGTCGTGGCGATCGCAACTCTGCGGTAGTTGAATTTGTCTCTGAGGGTGACATCAAAATCGCTTCTTTGTCTGTAAGCTTTACGACATCACAAATTTTATCGAGAATCTGTGTGCGGGAAGTGAAATATAAATTTTGCCAAATGCTTGGAATTCAACTCGTTCAGCGCCGGTGTTTAAACTTGAAAGCGTAAAATTGTAATTGATGCCGAGATAAACAATCCCTGAAATATTAGAATATTGGTATCTCGAATCCCGTTGATAATTTCTAATCCGAAGTAGAAGTAATGTTACTAAGTGATAAAGTCAGATCTCCGCCTTGATAAAGAATTCCTACTCAAGTCCCGTTTTGAAGTTCTAAGGAGTCTCAAGTTATTTTTTAATATAAAACTACGTCAAAACAAAAATGAACGTCTCATTGCAAGCTCCGTGCTCCTGTTTAGATTCGCCTTATGAACCACACCTATAAAAATCAAATTAGAAGCCCAGTTATTGTCCAGTTACGACAGGTATTGAGGATGCGTTGCTGAAGAAACCTTCCTTGTATTTTACCCACAGGCTACACTCAAAGGCTCTCATAAAATTATGATAGTAGATCTGAATATAATTAAGAAGTTTCATCTGCATCCAGTTTCATGAAGCTAAATTAATTCTGCATTGCTCCGCTTCGACGGTTGCCATAGCGACAGTCCGATGTAAACAATTGCTGTTCGCCTCAATCTATGAACGGAATCGTTGGAATTCAGACGTATGGAGAGCCTGAACCCAATCATATTTCCATACTTACCCACCATAATTGATGTTTACATTTTTCTGCTCTATAGACGAGTTTCTTCGTTTTATGTGGTAAATAAAATAACAAGTGCTCGAGCAACCAGATCTGCTGGCCATTATACGCTACAGCCATAACCAAACCATCCCTAAGAAGAAACTCGAATTTATGATTTAAATCAATTTAAGCGTGTAGCCAACAACAGCAACCACCACAATGACAAGAAGCTTGCAGCGCAAGAACAGCAACTCTGTTTTCTTCAACACAATCGAGACGATCTCAAGCACCTTCTTCCCCAATGTTGAGTTCGATGAACTCGGCAGGCTGCCGCCCAAAGTAGGTAAGAGAACAGTAACTATTTCCTCTTTCATTACACTTCAGACTGATTACTTCTGTTTCTTCTGATTTGGATTCCGAATAATTTCGGGGTACCGCCATACTTGAAAGAGATCACAGGCCGTCAATTCGTTTTTCTCGCACGAATTATTCTCAGATGAATCAGATTTGTCATGAATCAGATTACCTCTTCGATCACAACCAAAGAACTGTGCGATCAGGAATTTTTTCTAAACCCAGTGAATAATGTTTCGGGTACGTATTCAAGGTTACATATAGAGATAATTGATTGATTTTTCATCGATCACCATTCGCATTCAATATTTCCATGGAGCTTCACTGTTACTGAAATTGTGCACACGAAGTCTTACCATGACTGCTGTTACTCCTGCCTGGCCCTGTGGCGTATACGGTCCAGGCTTTGGGTTTTATTTTCTAGAGTTAAGCGCATTTATTGCATATCCTAATTATTCTGTTCGGAGATTTGTGTTTCTTGGGACTTAGTTCTGGCCGCGGTAGGCCCCAAGCCTTGGTAGGTAATCTTTAGGCACCCTGCCGACTGTTATCGTTAATAACCCCGGCGTCGTTAATACCTAATAGCCAGAACTCTGTTATCTGTTGCGATCTGAGCCCCGTACGCTGTTCCCTGTTGTGATGTGAGCCCTGGACGCTGTTCCCTGTTGCGATGTGAGCCCTGGACGCTGTTCCCTGTTGTATAAGTGAGCTGTTCACTGTTCACAGGCTGCGTGCTTACCTCCAGCCTCCCGCTGCAAATGTCCATCTTTTTCTCTGGAATCTTCTTCCCCGTGTGGCTCATATCTACCTACACTATTTTCTACTACAAGGTTTGCATTATTAACCCATGGCTGTCGAGATATTATTTGGCTTTAATATATTGTGTATTTCACTCATGTATACTTGATTTAGAACACTAGCATGACAACGCACTTTATCCAGTCTCGCGCACCCTTGGCGCGTATATACCCTCAAAAATAGTTCGTTGATACATGTAATAAACTCTGTCAATGGTTCATAAATCCGTCAGCTAATCCTTGACTGCTTTTCAAGCTCAACCCACCAATAACAGATAAGAAATCGCCGCTGATTTTACTTAAGCGAGTTTTTCAAGTAGGGAAATAGTTTTGTCATGGAGGAAAATTTAAGGCGTCGAAACTGGGAAACGGACGACATCTGGGAGATTGGGATTGGGACAGGTGGCGGTGAACATGTCAATTTTTTTAATGTAGAACGTAAAGTAAAGCCTTGATCATCTTCATTTATTCTTTGGATATCTGTACATTTATGTCAGCGTCTCATCGAACGACTTGTATTCATGCCACATCAATACATTAGCGGCAAGAACATAAACAAATTTATTCGATTCGCATGAATTTCCTGCCGTCACCGCGGTCAGCATGCGTCACACACCTGAGCTGTGAACACACTGCTAAACTTCTTGCCAGCACACGTCACACACCTAAACACACTGGCATAACACCTGTCAACACACGTCACACACCCGAACACACTGCCATCACGCCTTAACACACTGCCATAACACCTGCCGCCACACTTAACACACATAACAACTGCAACACACGTCACACACCTGAACCAACTATAATAACACCTGCCACCCCCTAAACACGCTGCCATAACACCTGCCACCCCCTAAACACGCTGCCATAACACCTACCTTAACACACTGCCATAACACCTGCCGCCACACCCCCTAAACACACTGCCATAACACCACGTACCCCCCTAAACACACTGCCATAACACCTGCCACCCCCCTAAACACACTGCCATAACACCTGCCACCCCCTAAACACGCTGCCATAACACCTACCACCCCCCTAATCAACTGCCATAACACCTGCCACCACATGACATCACGACCAGATCCCCTAACTGCAGCACTCGTACAGTTCTGGCGCCTGACGACCGCGTACCGCTACGTGGTCGCTCTGGTCTACGTCGCTGTACCGCCGCTCGAGTTCGTGCGTCTACGCCTCGGGTACTCGGGCAACATCCGCGAGCGGGCGAGTCTACTATACAGTTTTAAGCATTTCTATTCATATTTCATTGTGAATTTAAATATATCAGTATTTTTTATTGTTGCTGTGTCTATCAATATTTTTTTATTGCATTTTGTACATTTATTAATGCGCTTTATTTACAATTTACATTTTGATATCACATTTCTATAAATAGAAGTATAGATGCTGGATGTCGCTTACGGTAGCGCCGCTCTTTATTTATTCTTTAATAGCCGAATCAATGAAGTTTATTATGAATTAATTTAATGTGCATTGAAATTTTCAAATGTTTGTAATCCAATCTAAGATCTTTTTGTATTGCCCACTAAAACATTTTACAATACTGTATATAAAAGATATCTGAAGAAGTGTCGCACTAGCAGGTTCCTGAGCTGGCGGGCAGTTGGCTGGTGGTGGCGCTGCTGCTGCTGCCGCTGCTGCTGTTCCTGCTGCTGGTGCCAGGCTGTAAGTTGACAGCAATGGAGTATCCCTTGCACTGCTTCTACCTCATCATATTAATTGTGCACATCATCGCCGGCCACATCGCCATCACCAGAATGGCCAAGTACCAGACCAAGATTTATCACTTGCAAACCAATGCGCAGAAAACCTCGATGAATTCGTCGAGATCTGTGGCTAAGAAGAAGTTGAAATGATTTGAAATTAGTATTATTTAAGATTTTATTATTACTTTTATAAATTAATTGAGGCTGGATGGGTGAAGGAAAAATGAACCAAAACAATCCTGTGCAATACTCGGGACGATTTTCTAGCTAACTCATCTCAAGAGATCTCATGTAGTACCTTGCTCTTCTTCTCCTATACATTCAATGTTTCTACTAGGAAATGTTCACAATACTTTCTAGTCATTGCCGTACAAGGTAAAATATTTCCCATGTAGTCTTGCGTATCTTCTGACTAAATGAGTTTTTTGCTAGCATTGTAAGCCGGTTAACATTACTGCATAAGGGAGGTCATGACAGAGCTGAAGAACTACAAGCCAGTTGTTCGTTCTGACACGAGCGGAAAGATTTTCTGCGAGCGAATATGAATGAGCAGATGCAACGATTTATGGGAGAAGAATGAGTGCTTGGGACGAGCGAAATGGTTTCAGATTTGAAAGAAGAGAAGAATAGAACATTGTTGTTGTGAATGAACTGGTTGGTAGGATGAATAACGATGAAGAGATGGTGTACCTGGCGTTACTAGATACTGAAAAAGCGTATGACTAGGATGATAGAGAACTGTTGTTAGACGCCGGAAAAATTGGTATAAGTGAAAAATTTGCGAGGATAGTGAGTAATATGTATTTAAATTCTAGTGCAAAATATAGACTGGAGGATGTGGAGATGGGAGAATATTTTAAATGATTAGGAAGACTCCAATTTTTATTTATTATTATTGAATAAATGAATGAATGCCGTGTACAAGACCGGTCTAAAGGTCTGACTGGATATCGGCGCCCCCATTATTCTAATTCCATTCTCATTGATGATAGTGTGACTATAATACTTAAGCATTTGTCTCATGATCTCATTAAATTTATTAATGTGACCTTGCTGATTTTCCTTATTTCTTCAATTGTGTAGGTAACATGCTGAAGCTGACGGTAAAATATGCATGATTATTATTCGTCAGCAAATGACGGGCAGCCAACGTCGGTCTTCGCAATAGCGGCCGGCATGACATGATCTCGTGCGCTGCTCACATATTTCTATTTGTCAAGAAAAAGCAATTGTGCGCGAATAAATAAAGTCGCTCAAGTGAGAGAAAGCGATGAACTAATCAACAGATGGAATATTGTGAACTTATTAATTGCTCACTTGTTGGTAGATTATGAGCTGTTTTTTTTTTATCTCTGCAGCACGGGTCTAATGATTTTCTCACGTTCTCAAACGTTTTGTGATTGAGTACCATGTACAATTTTTCATAATTATTATCGTAATATCAAACGGAAATATATTCAATTACATGCATATCTCATTTGATATGATAATAATTAGTTCTTTGTTAGCTGTGCAGTTTTATTTTAACGGTAAACGCCGAGGCAGGTTATTGGAATGTTGCAACGTTTAAACTCGTGCGTCCTGTCTGTTATTAAAGATTATCTTTTTAGACCGTAAATAAATGTAGACTTGAAATGAAAATTTGAAAATTAATCATGAAAACGAAACGTTTATCGTACCACCTGACGAGTCTTTGCGTGCCGAAGTGTGGGAAACTCTCGTTTAGTGACATCGAAGAATAAGACCGAAATATATCGCTATTAGTTCACTAGACAGTCGCTAGGAGCGTTGCGGTTTGTTATGTCTCGCCGATAATGGTGCCCTTGCTGTTCAAATTAGCGCCCTTGTACAAGTTGCTTCCTACGAGAGTAATTTCGGAAGAGAAGAATTTTTTTGTGCAGTGTCATACCCTCAGTGACTATATTCTGCTGACGGTTGTTTGACAGTGCGGTTTTGAAGCGGGAACGTAGTAATGGTTTATTAGCTCACGCTGCTCCCTGCCTCCCTCAACTGATTAACTTGTAACGGGAACTGATTAACTTGTAACGGGCTAACGGCTACCGACTGATAACCAACTTTTCAAAACCCAGTGTATATGCCTAGATTTTGAACGTGATGCAATACCACTACTGTTTTCTATATACAGTTTATTTATTTATTTTACAGTTTATTTATTTGCAACAAGAGAGTAATGATTGAAAAGTCTAATGTGGTCCTGTCACTCCTGTGGAAAAAGATCTTGGAGTTTATGTTGACAAAGACAAGGAGCTGAAATTTTCTAAGCATGTTGAAATGTAAGCTAAGAAATCCAACAACCTTCTTGGACTAATCAGACACTCTTACCAGTTCCTAGATGCAGAAGCAATGAAGCAGTTGTTTGTTGCTGTCG